ATAGCAAAGACTTGGAACCAACCCAAATGCCCATCAGTGTAGACTGGATAAAGAAAATGTAGCACATACACACCATGGAAAACTTTGCAGCCATAAAAATGGATGAGTTCATGTCCTTTGCAGGGACATGGATGAAGTTGGTAACCATCATTCTCAGCAAACTAACACAAGAACAGAACACTGCATGTTCTCACTCATAAGTGGGAGTTGAACAATGAGAACACATGGACACAGATAGGGGAACATCACACACTGGGGCCTGTCAGGGGCTGGAGGGCTAGGGGAGGCATAGTATTAGGAGAAATATCTAATGTAGATGATGGGTTGATGGGTGCAGCAAACCACCACGACACGTACCTATGTAACAAACCCGCACACTCTGCACACGTACCACAGAAATTAAAGTATAATTAAAAAATAAAAATAAAAACTAAATTTTTAAAAAATGAGAAACATTCAGAAGGCAGTTCTGAAAGCCATTCTCATTGAGGGAACCATAATGATGTAGGTTCATTGTGGATCTCTCTTAAAATCCATTATTTTCCTTTGCCCATGTCTCTGAATTACTATCTCCTTGTTTTTCTGTTTCTGATATAGTTCCCCTCTTCTCAAGGTGAGCCTGCCTGCTTTTTCACTTTTATTTATCATGGTCCCTAAAATCAAGGATATAATTTGGAAGGCTGTTGCTATAGGTTTCAAGATTTTGCAATTTGACAATGGCACATTGCTGTGTAATGGTATGTGTGAGATAACGCAAGTATTTTCCACTAATAGCAAGTCATGTCATAATTTTAGAAAAAGAAAAAGACCAAAAGAGATATAAAACCTTCAAAAATTTTTCCACAAATATGTGAAAACTTAGCTGCATTAAGCATTTTACCAAACATTTTCACATACTTTATCTCAAATGTCATCTTTCTGGCAATCTGGAATTTTTACCAATAGAGATAAACAGTGCTAAATAGAATGTGTGAGCAAGGGAGAAAATAAATTGTAGAGTATAGTAGTTACATATAATATAATTGCTTGCACACACACACACACACAGACCTATATGGTGTGTATACATATGTAGGTATTTAAAATAACCTAAACAATTACTGTTATAACTTCCCACAAATAAATTACTCCTTTTCCTTGAACACAAAGAACAAAATTTTCCTTCTAACTTTAAGCAGAAACTATTTTATGTACAACTTCCCAGGAGAGTCTTAGAAATGACAAGCAAAATCTAAGCCCACAGCATATGATATGATTGTCAACAATCTGACTTTTGACCATTCATGTCATATTGTAAACGAAATGGCTGCTTGACTAACTCTCTGAGATGGCAACCAGCTGTGCAATGGTTGGTTACTCATTGCATTTTAATTAGTACTTGCTCTCCATAAGAGAGGATTAAAATTGTAACAAATGTTTGCTAATAAACTAAAAAGACTGAAAACATTTTATTCTTGGAAGCATTTTTGACACAGTGTGTTGACATCAGAAGAAAAAAGCAAAAGTCTCTTATGACAATGTCCTTAGGCTATAATCTATTAAACTTCAATTAGCAATTTTAACTTGGTCTGTACTAGCACTAAAAAGATACTCTGAGTTTAAGTTACGAGATTATTTTACTTCCAACATGTTTTTGATGTTTACATCATAAACATTTCTGATGCACATTGTAGCAGAAAACACTCAAATTGCTTAAACCGTTTCACTGAGGAAGTAAAATTAGATTTTTGTGCAAAGGGAGGAACTAAATTGAAATTTTAAAAATCTAAGATATATATTAAAGGCAATGATAAATTAAACTGTAGTTTTTGCCTTTCAGAAACTGAGGAGCAGCCAAAATCTATCTTTACTTCATTTATCAGGACTATCACATAGCAACTTGATAGTTCCAAACAATTAGCCATTAGATCCTTTTGAAAGATCTTTTGCCTCTCTTATCTTTCAATATTTAAAATGATTTAAGAATACTTTTTTTTTAAAGAAAATTGACAGTAAAAGGAACTGAATTAAAGTTCAAGAAATATGAATATACCTACCAGCCTCTCTCTTACTTTGCTGTGGATCATATGGGAAAGCCTTTCTATTTGCATTGAGATGTGATTCCTCCATGAAAAGCCGGACACACCCTGTCTTAGTTTGGAGAAATAATTTAGGTTCTTAGGCCTGGGATGAATAAGGCCTTTCTTGTGTGAAAACAGCATTAAAATTGAATTGTCCATGTCTTATGTTTATGTTTTTACTTATTCCGATTTTTCATATGGAAGTGTTCTTACACTTACTTTACTACTGGGCTTCTTTACAAACCTTAATTTGAAATGGTCCTAAAGTTTTCCTCCTATTTTTTATGTTATCTATGTGACATAAAATGTGAATGTGTACATGTGAATGGCTTAAGGCTATATTAGCTGGAATAAAACTTGGCACTTTGCTTATTCTTGTCTTGCTTTATTGAACCATAGAAAATTTGGGCCCAAGGGATATTTAATAATAGTCCACTTTTTTATATTGCAAATGAGCAAAGACATTTAGAAGGCTTGATTGGCTTATCCAAGGAGATGCATGAAGATGGTGAGCAGCTAACATATAACTGACAAAATATTCTAATGGGTTTCCACTATTCTACAGCATAATTTGCCTGAAGAGTTTTTGGAGATTTTAGTTTTTGTTTGTTTTTGCTATTAGAAGTCACTCTTGGCTCCAACATTATCCAATCAAATTATTTTACTGAAGCTTTCAAATCCGGTGACAGTTCTGATACATGAGTATTTTGTCACATCTTTTTACAAAATTTAGTTTCATAATAAGATAATGGCCATCTGAAGTCAGCCCAAAGGCAGCTGAAACAATATCTCTCATCCTAATTCTTGGGATGTTTCCTCATAAAGCTACTGGTTCAGATAAGAGTCTATAAATGACTAAATCACAAGGTCACAACTTTGAAGAGTAAGACATTTGCTTACATCACGGTTTGCTCTTGTCACAAAAAAATAAAACCGAAACCTACAGATATACAAAGGGTAGACTTTGATTTAAGGCAAATTTTATATTGCCATTGATGAATTAGAGTTCAATTACATAGATTTTAGTAAATTGGTTCAACGTTATGCATTATCATGCAACAGGGGTGACCAAGTACTAGCAAAATATAGAATATACACAGAAACACTAGAAAATGAAATATGTCATTCTGGGTGAATTTTTAAAAGCAATTTAAAAAATCTAATCATCACCGAAAAATTGAAAATAATAAGCTTATGCTCATCGATAATTGATTCTGTTTAATGACTTTCACATGCAATAACAGTCTATCTTCCTATTTGTCTGTTCACAAAAAGAAATAATACCACACATCTATAACCATCTGATCTTTGACAAACCTGAAAAAAACAAGAAACGGGGAAAGGATTCCCTATTTAATAAATGGTGCTGGGAAAACTGGATAGCCATACGTAGAAAGCTGAAAGTGGATCCTTTCCTTACACCTTATACAAAAATTAATTCAAGATGGATTAGAGACTTAAATGTTAGATCAAAAATCATAAAAACAAAGGGCTAATATCCAGAACCTACAAAGAACTCAAATAAATTTACAAGAAAAAAGCAAACAACACCATCAAAAAGTGGGCAAAGGATATGAACAGACATTTCTCAAAAGAAGACATGCATACAGCCAACAGACACATGAAAAAATGCTCATCATCACTGGCCATCAGAGAAATGCAAATCAAAACCACAATGAGATACCATCTCACACCAGTTAGAATGGCGATCATTAAAAAGTCAGGAAACAACAGGTGCTGGAGAGGATGTGGAGAAATAGGAACACTTTTACACTGTTGGTGGGACTGTAAACCAGTTCAAGCATTGTGGAAGACAGTGTGGCAATTCCTCAAGGATCTAGAACTAGAAATACCATTTAACCCAGCCATCTCATTACTGAGTATATACCCAAAGGATTACAAACCATGCTGCTATAAAGACACATGCACACGTAATTTATTGCAACACTCTTCCCGATAACAAAGATTTGGAACCAACCCAAATGTCCATCAATGATAGACTGGATTAAGAAAATGTGGCACATATACCCCATGGAATACTATGCAGCCATAAAAATAGGATGACTTCATGTCCTTTGCAGGGAGACGGATACAGCTGGAAACCATCATTCTCAGCAAACTATCACAAGGGCAAATAACCGAGCACCACATGTTCTCACTCACAGGTGGGAATTGAACAATGAGAACACTTGAACACAGGAAGGGGAACATCACACACCGGGGCCTGTCATGGGGTGGGGGGAGGGGGAGGGGGAGGGGAGGGATAGCATTAGGAGATATACCTAATGTAAGTAACGAGTTAATGGGTGCAGCACACCAGCATGGCACATGTATACATATGTAACAAAGCTGCGCGGTGTACACATGTACCTTAGAACTTAAAGTATAAATAATAAAAAAAGTTATATTCATGGAAACAGTGCAATTATATCACTCATCTCTCATGAAGAGATTTAGTCATTTAATTTTCATTTAATACTTTACACATTAGATTACAATTAACTTGTTAAATAAGCATAAATAAAATATTCTCTGCTTTGCTTCTGACTCACATTTGAAAATATAATTGTTGTCTCTTTTTCAAGGATGGGTGATCAAATAATTCATACAAATTACTGTATCTCCTCTCATTTTTATATTCACAATTAAAATCATTAAAATTTCAATAATTAATAGTGATTTATTTCTGCTTGATATATAAGGTAATGACATGTAACTGGAGTTCCATTAGGGCATTCATATAAATTTTTAAAATCTCTTTTAAATGGCTTTTGTCAATTTAAACCTTAAACTAATTTTATACCATTTAATATTTATTATTTCTAATTGAAGACCCAACATACTTCCAAATATTATAAAACACACATCTCACAACAGAAGACATAGATGAAAAAACTATTAAAATATTTTTAAAGTATACAATGTAAGAGGAAGAAATACTAAAATACTAATCCCAAAGTCAGAAAAAAGAAATGTCCAAAAAGCTATTATAATTGAATACAGTCACGTGCCACATGATAAGATTTAGGTCAATGACTAACACATATATGACAGTGGGCCCATTAGATTATAATGGAGATGAAAAATTCCTATTGCCTAGTGACTTTGTAGCCATGATAATATCATAGCACAACACATTACTCACCTGTTTGTCATGATGATGATGTTAAACCTATTGCACTACCAGCTGTATAAAAGTGTATCATATGCAATACATACGGAGTAGGCCCTCCATATCTGTGGGTTCTACATTCACAGATTCAACCAATGGTGGATCAAAAATATTTTTTAAAAATTGCATCTGTACTGAACATGTATAGATTGGTTTCTTGTCATTCTTCCTTAAACAATACAGTTATAACAAACTACTTACCTAGTACTAGATATTACTGTCTGTATTAGTCCATTCTTGCATTGCTATAAACACTTGAGACTAAGTAATTTGTAAAGAAGAGGAGTTAAATTGACTCACAGTTTCGCAGGTTGTACAGGAAACATAATGCTAGCATCTACCTGGCTTCTGGGGAAGCATCAGGAAACTTGCAATCATGGCTGAAGGCGAAGTGGAAGCAGGCATATCACCTGGTGAAAGCAGGAGTGAGAGAGAGAGAGGGGAAGCATCAAACACTTTTCAATGACCAGATCTCATGAAAACTCACTCACTATCATGACAGTACCAACAACACAGTACTAAACTGTTAATGAGAAATCCACTCCCATAATCCAGTCACCTGCCACCAGGTGCCACCTCCAACAATGGGGATTACAACATTAGATTTGGGTGGGAGACAGTTCCATATTACTGTATTTGCATCATACTAGGGGTTATAAGTAATCTAGAAATGAGTTAAAGTGTATGGTAGGATGTGCATAGACGATGGGCAAATACTATGACATTTCACATCAGGGACTTGACCAATCATGGATTTTGTTATCTTAGGGAGGTTCTAGAACCAATTCTCCCATGGATAATAAAGAATAGCGGTCGTCGATAATGATAATAAATAACTATGTTACTGGTTGATATACTTACTACTTTTATTGTTCTTTTAGAGTGTACCCCTTCTAGTTACAAAATAAAAAGTTTAGTTACAAAATAAAAAATTAACTGTCAGACAGCTTCAGATCCTTCAGGAGGTATTCCAGAAGAAGACATTATTATCATAGGAGATGACAGCTCCACTCATATTACTGCCCATGAAGACCTTCCAGTGGGGCATGATGTGGAGCTAGAAGACAGTGATACTGATGACCCTGACCCTCTGTAGGCCTAGACTAATGTGTTTATGTCTTAGTTTTTACAAAAAAAAAAAAGTTTAAAAAGTTAAAAAAATTTAAAAAAAATAGAAAAAAGCCTCAGGGAACAAGAATAAAGAAAATATTTTTGTATAAGTATACAATGTGCTTGTATCTTTAAGCTAAATGTTATTACAAAATAGTCAAAGTTAAAAACTTTAAAGTTTATAAAGTAAAAACATTACAGTAAGATGAATTTATTATTGAAGAGAAAATATTTTATATATATTTAGTGTAGCCAACGTGTACAGTGTTTACAAAGTCTACAGTAGTGTACAGTAATATCCTAGGCCTTACATTGACTCACCACTCACTCACTGACTCACCCAGAGCAACTTCTAATCCTGCAAGCTCCATTCACAGTAAGTGCCCTATGTAAGTGTATACATTTTACATTTTATATTGTATTTTTACTGTATCTTGTTTATGTCTAGATACACACATACCATTGTGTTATAATTGCCCACAATATTCAGCACAGTGACAGGCTATACAGGTTTGCAGCCTAGCAGCAACAGTCTGTACCACATAGCCTGGGTGTGTAGTAGGCCAGTTTTCTGTGAGTACAGTCTATGATGTTCACACTACAACAAAATTGCCTGATGACATTTATCAGAACATTTCCCTATCATTAAATGACTTATGACTGTTCTAAGTTTAAATTTTACTTTTACTAAAGGCAAGGTGGAAGACTATCTAAAGCAATTCCATAGTAAGAGTTCTTCCACCAGCATTTTCAAAAATCTACACACATGGACACTCTCTTAGGCAACCGTTATAGGCATGCAGCAATCAGCAGAGGCACTTTAGTTCAGACAAAGTCCAGACTGCAAACATCTAGAGACAAGCTTTCCTGTCTGAGTGGGGACTCAGGGACCTAAAAAAGCATGGCTTGGGAAATGAGTTACAATAAAAAAAAAAGAAGCATGATTTTGCAGACAGGGAACTCCTATGATATATTGTCTGCAAGCTGGAAAACCAGGAAAGGGGATGGTGTAATTCAGTCTGAGTCTAAAGCCTGAGAAGCCAAAGGCATAATTCCCAGTCTGCATGGGAAAGGCCCTAGAAACTGAAGCACTGACGCTCAAGGTCAGGAGATCCATGTCCCAGCTCAAAGAAAGGGTTTGCCCTTCTTCGACTTTTATGCTCCATTTGAGCCCAGAAGAGAATGGATAATGTTCACCCTCATTGATGAGGGCAGATCTTCTTTACTCAATCTACTGATTCAAATGCTAATCACTTCCAGAAACACCCTCACAAACATACCCAGAAATAACATTTTTTCCAGCTATCTGGGCATCCTTTAGCCCAGTCACATTGACACATAAAATTCACCATCACACATACTCTCTCAGAATCCTGTGCATTGAACATAGGCAGGACTATTATTCCTGCCTGCCTTAGTGACTCCTCATCCTTCCTGATACCATTTAAGCCTTCCTCCTCCAACAAGTTTATCCTCCTATCTCAGGTGGGTTTGGTGACTAGGGGCTAAGATGCCTACCTCCATATTAGCATTTTCTATGCTGTGCTTTAATTGTTGATTTATGTCTCTATCTTCTCCATCAGAGGCTGTGCCTATAATTTTTCCGTGCCTAACATATAACAGACAATAGATATTTGTCAGATTTAGATTGAATAAATGAATGAAAGGATACTTTGGCTAAATCTGAAGACTGAATAAGATGAGAGACATAAAGGAATGACAAGCAAAGGTAGCAGCATGTCTGAAAGTCTGAAAGCATAAAATTGCATGAGATATACAGAAAAGACTTCCATATGGAAATTCTTAATGCTCACTTCATCACACATCTACTAAATTCAGAACCATATGGTTATGGGATTTGCTAGGAAGTGGCAGACAAAAAAGTGGGAAAGCTGAGGATAGTAAGAGACACTGTTGGTTGCTTGTCTAGTAGCCATTCCTCCCTTCCTCCAACAAAACTTGCATTTAGTAATGTGCCTCAGGGACTGCTTATCCTCAGGCTCAGGAGGGAAGAAGTGGGCGTCCTGTCATTCTAAAGCAATCAAAGTGGGTACATTCACCTTGTCCATATTGGTGTAGACCAACGAGTATCTGATGCAACATATCCTTACAAGCAGGTGAAAGTCCGCCCATGCAATTATGACTAGCAGGTACTTCATTCATTTGTATTGATTATTCACTTCAAACTAATTGGAATAATCTCAGGCTATTACTACTACTACTTAACAATTGTCGTCTATTGCGCATGCTCTCTTCCAAGTACTATAGCAGGTGTTTTACGCAGGTCATATATAAAGGAGCCTTATAAGCAAGGTCTTTGTTGTAGTGAGGAGATCAGGACTGACAATTTCTGGACAACCTATCAATGTTCATTAGCTATCCATTTTGTTCAATAAAGTCCAGTGCACCTTGACCTCAGTGACTAGAAAAGAAAAAGACTTCTTTTTTTACATATAGTAGATTAGAAATCAAAGTGAGTGAGAGAGAGAAATTAGAAATTTTATTAAACAGCTTCCTTTCCCATCTCAACCCGGTTTGCCAGGGAGAACATTCTGTATGACTTGGTATTCTTATCTAAATAAATGTGATATTGATTTTAACAAACCCACCATGGAAAACGCCTGGCTGCTCCAAGACCTCTATTTCAGTCACATGTTATTGCTTACCGGTAAGTCATCAGGTAGAGGTGAGTCTAAGATGAGGATTAGAGATTATACATTCTCAAGATGAGGATTATAGCAGATTCTCTTTCTGATGAGAATCAGGTCTCTTAGATTGTTCTCCCTCTAGTTCCTGCCCACAGCAATGTCAGCCTGTCACAGCAATGTCACCCTGAAAGCAGAAAGCAGAAAAGAGGAAGTGAGCTCATGTGAAGAGACCAAATAAGAGAGGAGGCCTTGTTTTATAAAGACTTGTCTCCTGATTAATCCAGTTCCACTGAGAGTGAGATTGCATTAATTTCCTCTTGCAGGGTGGATCCTTCAGGACCCACAATACCTCTTAACGGTCCCACCACTTCTCAACACTTTTACATTGGCAATTAAATGTCAACATGAGTTTTGTCAGTGACAAGCCACATCCGATCATAGCAATCATGCAAACCTGAATCATGATTCAGGTTTTCCTGACTCCTGATCCCAAATTGTCCTCACAAAACCAAAATTTCTCAGTGCAACAAAGCCCATTTTTATAAAAGGGAGCGCTTCTTAAAAGACAGCAGTCATGTTTATAAATATCAAAGTTTCTTTCTTGCATAAATGTATAGTTATAAGTGTGTGCACTAATAGAAAGTAGTATATGACAGATTTCTTTGTGTTTTAATTTGAATAATACTGAAAATACCAAAAAATTTGGAAATTACCCATAAAGTCATCACCTTAAATATCACACATGTGCGCTTCAACACACATACCCCACATACACGAACTAGGAAGAACATGTCTACATTGGCTCCCACTATGTTTTAAATATGACCACATTAGAAGTTTGGTGTGTTACCAAGTTTTTCTACACTAATGAAGGCATTTGCATATATGTCTATAGATGCATGTGCAGTTTTTACATAAATATAACCATGTGAAACACTTTGGTCTACTAGGATTTTTTTCCCACATTAACAATGTATCACCAGCATTTTTCTGGTCAGTTTGTGCACCTAATTTTCTTGTGGCTGTGGCGTATTCTCTTTCATGAATGCAGCATGATTTATTTAAGCCGTGTTTGTTATGCCACTCTGCCCCTTACAATACTTTTCAGTCTTTGGTAGCACCGAATTGGTAATCATCACATCTTTTTCAAAATGTTTTGGCTATGTTGTCCTTATTTTTCCACATAAAGTACAGAATAAGGTTTGAAAGGTTAAAGAAAAACAAATGTCTCATTTAAATTCATATTATAGAAAATGTAGATATTAACATGACATGAATTTGCCAGTTAAAAATATTGTTTTTCCATTCAGGAACATGGCAAGCTTCTGAATTCATTAATGCTCAGATTGTTTGTTTTATTGGCTTTATGTTCCCAAATGCTGTTTTGTAGTCTTATCTTAAATGTCAGATATGTGTAATGATAAATGCGTGCTAACATGTATCCATGGAAATTCTGCAGTTCAGCCCATCACATAATTTATAGATAAAAGATCAAAAGAGCAGCCTTTGTGCTCCTACTCTCAAATAACTTCAGTTATTAATATTTTAATGACTGCAAAGTGGCACCTGTTTTCTCATTGCCAGTATTTCATTCAATAACGGAGACAATCTTAAGATTTAAGGATGTATCTTTTCCCCTGGGAGGCTCAATAAAGCTACTAAAATTTTGAATAAAATGTGTGACCTGCAATATATGTCATTTTTTTTTTCCCTAAATGGTTTCCCTGCAACTAAGTTTGGTTGTCAGAGTTAGAAGTCCTAAACATTTCTTTTAAAGTTAGTCCTTTTAGTGAAGTATTTGATAAAGGGTCAATCAAAGCTCTGATTAAAATTGTTCCTTTTCTAAATTAAAAAAATCTCTCTGTTCTCTATTGTTTACTGATTCAGAAGAAAAATCTGGCCATTCGTAACACTTTATGGCAGGATATTTTTTCTCATTGGGTCTTTTTCTGGTCTCTGGACTGCTGCTATAAGAACTTTCTCTGAAACAATCTTGCCTGGAGCTAAAAGAAAGAACTGTAAGTCCTAGGTTTTCTCTCCTTGTACACCCCCACTCCCAGAAAATCTAGATAACCTAGATAATTATACCAGATAATTACCTGAAATAATCAATCTAGAAAACTATTCCAGATAATGTTATCACAATATTTTGTCTTCATGAGGAATGTACGTTTCCAACACTCCTACTAAAATATTGTTATTCAACCAATTTTATACTTAATGGAGAAAAGTTGAAAGCACCCCCTGTAAGAACTGAAACAAGATAAGGATGCTCACTTTCACCCCTTTTATTCAGCATGGTACTGGAAGTTCTTGCCAGAACAATTAGACAAGAGAGAAAAAAAGACACCCAAATTGGAAAAGAAAAAGTCAAAAAGTCAAATTATCCCTGTTTGCTGATGACATGATCTCATATCTACAAAAACCTAAAGACTCCATCAAAAAACTCTTAGATTTGATATACTGATTCAGTAAAGTTTCAGGATCCAAAATTAATATACAGAAATCAGTAGTATTTCTATACACCAATAACAATCTAGCTAAGGATCAAATCAAGAAGGCAATCCTGTTTACAATAGCTACCAAAAAATAAAAACATAGGAATATATTTAACCAGAGAGGTAAAAGATCTCTATAAGGAGAACTATAAAATACTGATGAAAGAAATTAGAGATGACACAAACATCCCATGCCCATGGGCTGGAAAAGTCAACGTTGTTGACATGACCATAACTGTCCAAAAGCAACTTACAGATTTAATACAACCCTTATCAAATTACCAATGTCATTTTTCTACATAATTAGGAAAAAAATCCTAAAATTCATATGGAACCAAAAATGAGCCTGAACAGCCAAAGCAACCCAAAGCAAAAAAAAAAAAAAAAAAAAAAAACCATCACATGCCTGACTTCAAATTACTTCAAATTATACTTCAGGGATGTGATAACCAAAACAGCATGGTACTGTTATAAAAATACACACAGAACCCAGATATAAAGCCGCACACATACAACAAACTGATTTTGACAAACTTAACAACAATATACAGTGGGGAAATGACACTCTATTCAATAAATGGTGCTGGGAAAATTGGATAGCCATATGCAGAATAATAAACCTGGAACCATACCTCTCACCATATGCAAAAATGAACTCAAGATGAACTAAAGATCTAAATATAAGACGTGAAACTGTAAAAGTTCTAGAAGAAAACCTAGCAAAAACTCTTCTGAACATTGGCTTAGGGAAAGAATGCATGACCAAGTCCTCAAAAGTAAGCACTACAAAACAAAAATACTCTTGCTGTGCAGAAGCTCTTTAGTTTAATGAAGGATTATAAATTATGCTGCTATAAAGACACATGCACTCGTATGTTTATTGCAGCACTATTCACAATAGCAAAGACTTGGAATCAACCCAAATGTCCATCAGTGACAGATTGGATTAAGAAAATGTGGCACATATACACCATGGAATACTATGCAGCCATCAAAAAGGATGAGTTTGTGTCCTTTGTAGGGACATGGATGCAGCTGGAAACCATCATTCTTAGCAATCTATCACAAGAACAGAAAACCAAACACCGCATGTTCTCACTCATAGGTGGGAACTGAACAATGAGATCACTTGGACTCAGGAAGGGGAACATCTCACACAGGGGCCTGTCATGGGGAGGGGGGAGGGATTGCATTGGGAGTTATACCTGATGTAAATGACAAGTTGATGGGTGCAGCACACCAACATGGCACAAGTATACATATGTAACAAACCTGCACGTTATGCACATGTACCCTACAACTTAAAGTATAATAATAATAAATAAATTTAAAAAAAAATAGACAAAAATGACTTAAACAAAAAAGTTTCTGCACAGCAAAATAAACAATCAACAGGGTAAACAGACAACCTACAGAATGGGAAAAATATTTGCAAACTATGCATCCAACAAAGAGCTAATATCCAAAATCTATAAGTAGCTCAAATATCTAAACAAGAAAAAAGCAAATAACCCCAGTAAAAAGCAGGCAAGGCTATTATTAAAAAGTCAAAATATAACAGATGCTGGTGAGGTTGTGGAGAAAAAGGAAGCTTACACACTGCTGGTTGGATACAATGTTTACTATTCAGATGATGGGTACAGTATAGCTTAACCTTCACCACTATGCAATACATTCATGTAAGAAACCTGCACGTTTACCCTCTAAATACACTGTGTAAACAAAATTTTGTTATGGAACAGCTAGAACCATGCCACTGCTCATGCTTCTTGTCAACCTTAAATACAGGAAACAAAGTTATGGAAAATATTTGCCTTATATGAAATTTTCAGTGTGTACACCATATGTGGACACTAAGAATTCGATCAAGTAACCTTAACATTTAAACTTTCTATCTGTCACACCTTTGCTGAAAAACAGACACCACTCTGCTTGTTTTAGCAGGAAGGGATACTTAAAGAGAACTGGATACTTAAAAAGCTGTTAATAGGACTGGAAGAATAAAGGTCACAGAATGCCACTGCAGACTTTCAGAAAAACAGAAAGCTTGGGAATTAAGGAAGGTATCCCTGAAGCTCTCAGCTGAAGCCTACAGTTGCCTATAGCAGGTGATTTGTAGAAGCTCACCCAGATGCTGCTGCAAACCTTACGTCTATATCCTGCAGAACATCTCATGTTTTGCTCCTAGAGAAAAAAACAAAACAAACAACAACAACAAAAAACACTTCAATTCTATCATTCAAATCTCTTATCACTGATCCCTTTGTCGGAATTAAACTTAAATCCCACATCAAAGGAGAGTGGGAAATGTAGGTTTAGGGCTTCAGACCATGAGCTGTAGGGAGGATTTTAAAAGGCAGGGAAAGTGCTCAGTATCTCTTCCAAACATTCATTAGCATGATTTCTAAGACTGTAGTTTTCCACTGGAGAATACACATATTTATTTCTAATTTGGTCAATACTTAACAATTTTCAGCTTGGTCAAAACTCATGTGGGTGTCCCAGTTCTCTAATTACAAAATCCTATCAGTGCGGCCTCATCTAGCATCCTCTGTTGGCATTTTGCTCTTGGAAAAGTGTGTTAGTCCAGCGTGGTGGCTCACGCCTGTAATCTCAGCACTTTGGGAGGCTGAGGCAGGCGGATCACTTGAGGTCAAGAGTTCTCTAGACCAGCCTGGACAACATG